TTCATGTCTTATACAAACCTGCAGTGCTGCTGCATTTGAAATAATGCAAACAGTTTGTCATCCTATCTCATAAAGGGAATCATGGAGCTTAAGAAAATGATAACCAAAACAGTCAAGAGGTGGGAGCACCGTCCTTATAATGAGTGGTTATGGAATTTGGGATTTTTTAGGTTTTGGGGTGGGGAAATGAAGCCAAGTCGAATAGCAGGGGCTGAGGTTTTGAAAATTTTGAAATATTATAGCAGTTTTGAACATTAAACTAGCACAATACATTTTGCTGCTTGAGACAATGAACCCTGACCCCTCCCTTATTCAAGTACAAAAACCTATTAGGCTGGCAGTTGACTCTTAGTTCAACACTGGTGACAGAGTAACATTTTGCATGGTGCCAGAGAGCAGAATAGTAGCTTAGGGGGTGCAGGGAAAGCCCTATAACTGCCCACAGCATCATCTATTCCACATCCCTCAGAATCTGTTGACTGCCACCTCATTCTGCTTATTGGTAAGCTTGGGCCTTTGGGAAACTATGTGGTAGCGTTGGGTAAGAATCATTATATATGGACAAAATAGGTAGAGTTTGAAGGTTATGTTTGCACCTAAATCTCCCCATCCCATCTTTAATGAAAGATCTGGTAAGCTTGGTCTTAAAATATCATCTGGTAACAGAACCAGTCGGTGCTGTGTAATATTCTGCGAGCAAACACTATAGCCAGTCTATCAGGCTATTCAACCTAGCCATATTTACCAGGGGCCTCCTTGATGATCTTGGAATTTCAGAGCAAACCAACATTTGATGCAGGAAGAGAAAAACATTCTTTCTTCGTTGTGACACTGCAACAAAAGTTCCTCCAATGAAACTTACTGGAGGACAAGCATTGCATTATAGAGTACAGAAGAAGCCAATGGCCATGAACTTACATAGTTTTTTAAATAGGGATTAGACAAATTAATAGATAAGCCTATCAACAAGTATTAGTCATGTCAGTTACAGTGAACCTCTTGGCATAGAAGTAGTACACCTCTGCATACCATTGCTTGAAAAGCAAACCATGTGAGGAATGATACAGTCTTCTTGCCTGGTTTATAGATTTCCTGAAAGATTCTACCTGTTTCCCCTGAAAATAAGACCAGGTCTTAAATTAAGTTTTGCTCCAAAAGATGCATTAGGACTTATTTTCAGGTGATCTCAGGTCTTATTTTTTCTTACAAACGCTGTAAAATTCTTGCCCTGAGAGTCCTCCATGATTTCTTTCTTGTACTGGACAAAATAGCTCTTTCTTTTTGCACCCATCTTGCATTTTGTATCCATGCATTAAGTACGTCTGTTACAACACCTAACGTATTGAATTATGAAACACATCCATCCGTTATCAAGTACGCATGTTATTTCTGCGTTGTGTCTGTACTATGATTGGTCATTCAGCAATAAGTCTTGCGTTCATCTGTTTACACAGGCATCTACCTCTTGTCCAAAGGCACCCACTTGGGGATTTATAAATACTTAATTATAATGCATATTATCATTTATTTTAAGTATTAATGTCACTAATATTATTTATTTATTAACATTGTTATTTTATAATTCAATACATCTATCATGTGTTGCAAGGGACATACTACTGTGTTCCCCGATCTGTCTGGTTGATGATCTTGACTGGGGCTTATTTTTGGGGTAGGGCTTATATTACAAGCATCCTGAAAAACCATGCTAGGGCTTATTTTCTGGTTAGGTCTTATTTTCAGGGAACACGGTAGCTGTTCAGCTTCGTGGTCCAGTGAGGCTCTTATGTTCTCTCTAGTTCTGCTGGATGTTTATGCATATTGCTGAGAAAAAGCCATCCTTTCATCTAGATGCATAGTATTTTTCTTAATTTTTCTTTTCATCTTATGATTTTTCTGAAGGAATTCATACACTACTGGACACCAAGATCCATTTCTACCTTCTATCACAGTCTTCTCCAAGCTGACTGGGGGATAATGGGAGTTGTAGTCCAACACATCTAGCAGATGTAACCTCTTAAAAAGTCTTATGGGGCGGGGGAGGGGGGTGGTTGGCCAGGCAAGGACAAATGTATGCAGACTGCATAGATTTCTGTCCTTTCCTGGCCAGTGGGGAAAAGACTAAATAGGATTCTTATCTGTACAAATCTCCATTTTGCAATGATGACCATCTGGAATGCACAGCAAAATCTAAGCGAAGAACATATACTTACGTGAGTGATAAGATTGTGGTGGAATGGGGGTGGGAGTGAGGAAATCCAGAAGTATGAACAATGAGTGAGTTCCTCATTGCCACTTCAACATTCCTTTTCCCAGTTCCTCCCTGTTTGTCCCAGGAACTAGTTGTGCTTGGTTAATATGTATTTATGTATCGTTTATACTTGCCTTGGATGAGAAATCCTTTTCTACTGCTGCATAAATGCATCATTTGTATGAGTCAGAGATCAAATTGGGGGGAGGAGATTTCAGAAGAAAATAATCTTGGATTAAGTCCAATCTGAACAGTTCAAGGTAAATCTATGTATGCATGTGTTTAAACAACTTATGAATTGCCATTCACAGCGAGAGCTTGGACAGTTAAAGCACTTAGGTGGCAGTACAAGCAAACTTGTCTGAAGATCGCAAACACTTCAAATGGCAAGTCTCGAGGTTCATCTTACTCAAAAACAGTGTATGCTGCATTCTTTCCTCCAATTCATTCATCATCCCAAGCAGTCTTGTGTAGACACTGCACTGACACATAGGTGTGAACCAAGTGTAATACATCCATGGAAAAGGCACATTCATGTATGAAGCAATTTACACTCACCAGAACCTTTTGGAACAATTGAACAAAGGAAACAAATATAATACTACAGACTTAGAACACTTTGTACTTCAATTGCTTCAGTCTATTTTTGGCAGTTAGAAATAGGAAATCTATTGTCTTCTAGCCAAGTAGTTATGATTTTTTCTGATATTGCAAGAATGTGTCTGTGCCTTCAGGAGACATCTTAAATGTTACTCCATAAAGTGAAACTATTATATTACCATTAGGAATTTCCACTAATTACTTCTATTTACCTTTGTAAGCTGCTCAATTAGCTATATATTCTTGAAGGTAGGTGACTTGAAGGTGACTAGATTTTAGAAAATATTCTATTCTGTTGCACAGAATCTAAATCTCAAAAGTTATTCTCTGTTCATTTTGGAGCAAATCCTCAGAGTGGTGACTCTTTCAGACCTGAAGAAAGTCAAGCTTGTCCCTTTCCCTAAGTTACACAACTATTCTTCCATTGTCATGCCAAGCAAAAGCCACCCACAGACACTCCTTGGGACAGGCACTGGGTGGATCTATTTAATAACCATAGCTAAGTATGCAGCTTGCGATAGGAAAGGACTTTAGATAGGAAATTCTTGGATGAAAGATCTCCAAGCCTGGGTAATTTAATCAACAGCTGCTCTGTCACCACACTGTATTTAAACTATGCATGGGAAAGTTGGAAGCCAGATGGTATCCGACAAAGCACAACACTAGATTGTGAATGAACACTTTTTACTTTACTCAGCTGAGCTACAATATTTAAAGTTTCATGGTTAATTCATGTGATCCTCTTGAAGTTTTGATTTATAGGAAATGAGAATCTTGGTTTGCACCTTAGGGAATGGCTGGTATAACTCCTAGTTTGCATGCTAAGGATTCAGTCCAAGGTTCAGTCCAAAATAACCTCAAGCAAGACTGAGAAAGATTTCTGTTTGGAGCTGTTACTAGTAGTTTTCAGCTTTTCCAAACCTGGTACCCAACTTTATTACAAAAATGGGGACCAATTACTTGATATTTCCCCTATATCTGTAACCTATTTGTTGTGTATATTTGTATTGCCATTTATTGTGACTTTCCTTAGACTGTGTGACAAGCCATACTGGATCAAATTAAGGGTTCAGCATTCTGTGCACACAGTGGCCAATAGCTATCCACAGGAAACCCACAAGCAGGCCAAGAAATTGCATCCTTCCAACCCATGATCTCCAGCCACCGCTGTCCATAGGCAGCATTCAACTTTCAGGACTAGAAGGCTCTGTTAGCCTCATCCTCCATGAATTATCCAAACCATCCAAATTTGTGGCCATTGCTTCATCTTGCAAATTCCACCATTTAACTGTGCAGTCTGTGCATAAGCATTCCCTTTTATCTGTCCTGAATTTCCTACCTCCCAATCCTCTTCCTGGGATGATCCCAAGATGTAGTATTATGAGATGGGGGCACTGATTCCCAGCTGTGGGAAATGGCACACAATACTTAGCTAGAAGAACCAGGGTCCTGATACAGTATGAAGGCAGTTTCCTATGTTCCAACTTCTTTACAACTACAACTACATCTGTACATGTGAAGCATCACATGATACTCTTCTTTATGGACAGTGCCCCCATAGCTCCTTAGAATGTTAACCAGGATCTGATTTGCAAGATGATACTCATAGCAAGTCAGGGAGCATCTAATAAGTGGGATGTCCCACTTTAGGAAAATAAAGTGAAGGAAGCTAAATCATACTTCAATTTATTCAATATAATTTTAACAAGAACATTCCAAGCAGCTATGAGCTACGGAACAACAATGCTACCTTTCATGCAAGTTGGCTTTATTTTACAACTCACATAAAGAACAGTGAAAAACAAATTTTCTGCTGCTTTTTTGATGCATTTCACCATATAACGTAGTGATGTATTCTACCATAAACTGTTCCAATAGGCAGTCTTTAGATAGCAGATATAGGACAAACATGTGTAACCAAGTTGACTATGAAATACCAAAAATTTATTAGAGAAAGGGGGAAAAACTGAGGTAGCAGCAAGCCAAGCATTACTTTTAGATAACCGAGTCTTTTTAACTTTCATGCCTACCTAACTTCCGTATCTCTTAAAGTTTAAATTAAAGCCAGGAGACAGAGAGAATAAGTTACCCCAGGCAACTCATTTTTGGTCCTCTTTTTAGGGAATTGACTTTGAGAGGCAAAGCTTACCTTGATTTCTTTAACGACTCCATTCTTCTTGTGAATTTCATGCTTTAAGAAGTTATTCCTTTTCTGACTACAGTGTAAATGCCCATTGGAGAGACAATTAGGATTAGCCATTTGTTGTCAACGAACAGATTCCTAGCCCCTAGGAAGGTTTTGGTACTTCAAACTTTTAACAAGGCGACGCGGGATGAGCAAATAAAAGTCTCCTACAGAGAAACCTGTAAAAAGGCATCCAACTGGTCTGGCTGGCTTTTCCAGAAGATATTACTAATCGCTTCACAGAATCTGAGCAGCGAGAAGGGATCTAGTCTGTTCCGTTCTATCCCAAAGAGCGAGAATGGCAAAAAGGTACTTTTCAAAAGCAACAACACGAAGTGTACAACTCATGCCGAGTACTATGCTTCTAAACTGTGACTCAATAGGATTACTGAAGCTAGTTTTTTAAAAAGTGGGGCGGAGAAGAAGCGGGAATCCTTAAAGGCACACGGCCTTAATGCAAAGCGTCGTGTTTCTGTCGAGCATGCTTCAAAAGGCCAAAATGTAATTGCAGTGGTAGCTACGGATAAGGAGGTCGGGGGAAGGAGAGCGACGGATTGATTAATTCGTTTGTTTGTTCTACAACCAGGATTTTGCGGCCAGGAGACTCTAGTTCTGTCCACCTCAAGACTGTTTTGTCAGATGTCTATAAGTGTACACATTTGTAAAAAATAAGGTAGCCCACCACCTCTGGAATGCGACCCGGGGGAGAACTGTTTTTATCCCCATGAAGAAAAAGTTCCACTTTAAGAACTTCGTTAGCACTCTAGTTAAGTAAACACATCAATCCCGTCTGAGGCAAAACTTCCATTGAGTACTGGCTCGTTTTAAAGCCTTGGAAAATGAGTTCAGTTTCGGGCTCCTTAAGGCCTGTAACAATGGGATTAGCTAGATTTCGATGTCAAGCGAATAGCTGGAAGGCGGGAAACGGAGGCCGGCTATACGCTGGCCTGCTTGCTCGCTCGTTCAGTTATAGGGCTGCACGCCGAGGCTGCATTTGCAATCAAGCCAGAGCATATCGCCTTGGCTGCCCCTCTTTTAGGTCTTGGGTCTGTCCTGGGACCCCCGCATGTGTACTTATGGATAGACTGTTGGGAGCCAAGAACCATTCTCTGTTTTGCGGGAGAGCAACAATTTTGTAACGGGTTTGTCAAGCACTGCTTCTCTGTCAGGAGAGTAGTGTGAAGTTAAGAAAAAAGAATGCACCTAATTAAATCCCCCCTTTAAAGAACGGCATCCCTAGTCCTTACTAGAGCAATGCAACAGTAACTAGTTGTATGCTTGTGTAGCTTCATGTTTTTCCTTACACATACAACCTGCAGGATTCATTGGGATTTACTCTTAAGGGATAGAGAAGTCCCAACCCATTCAGACAGTTGTATGAGAATCTGGCACAGGTGCCCCTCCATGAGCTCTGCCTGGCTGGAGCAACCCAGAAGGACCCAGCTGCATCAGCAGAAGTCTCAGCAGAAAGGTGGAAACCACTGGTGGGTTCTCACTGGCAATAGCTCCCCCTCCAGCCCACAGGGCAGATTATCATAATCTCCATAGCATCTTGGTTTCCGGGAGAGGGGTTTGAATTTGACTTATTGACTATATAAACCAAGAGCTGATTCCCTGTCTCTCCTCTCCTCCAGTTTCAGTGAGAGAACAACCTACAATTCATGCTCTGGGTGGTATGCATCAGGATGGTTTAGGAAGGGGTGTGCAATTTGCCCCTTTACTGCCCACACTCATCCCCATTAGGATCGCTCTGTAAATGTGCAATGTTAAATTCTTTGTTGTAAACGAATATTAAACTTGCATCTATTTAAACGAATTATATAAAATGAATGAAAACAGAATATTGTATTGTTAGTTTACCTTCAGAGGTCCATAAGACATAATGGGCCTACAGGGAGATACTGTAAGTATTAAAAGCTTCTTCCAGATAGTTTTCCACCATCTGAAAAGAGGATACAGCCAAAAATACTTTTCAGAGTATTTTTGTTGTTCTAATTTTACTTTTGCTTCTCTTTAATTTCTATTATTGATACAGGTAATGCAAGCTTCTTAATAAACTACTAACAAGACAAGCTATGTGGAATGTCCATATTAAACCAAATGTGGTAGTGCTATGCAAATCCTTTAGATTGATTCCTGCAAACTTCTTATATTAATTATATTATTATTATTATTATTATTATTATTATTATTATTACATTGCTATTCTGCTCCTAGCCAAAACTATTTGGACAGTTTACAAGAATCATAGAATCATACAGTTGAAAAGGCCATTTGGTATGAACCCCTGCTCATTCAGGGCTCAAATGTCCCATCCAAATCCTAACCAGCTCTGACCTTGCTTAGCTTCCAGGATCAGGCAGGATCAGGCACTTCAGGCTATATGGAAGCTTATATATTATGGTTATTATGTCTATCATAATTACCTGTATATATAAGCACTATAGCTAAAACAAAAGTAAGGCATAGACAAGGGGTGGCCAGACTTGCTCAAAGGAAGAGCTACATACGGTAAATAGCAGATGTTTGAGAACTGCATGCGCGAGGCACAAAATAAACTGAAAGAGCTGCATGTGACTCCTGAGCCTTGGTTTGGCCACTCTGGAATAGACTATGCTCTGTAGGAAGGCTACAGTTGTATGCACATTTATTTGGGAATAAGCACCAAGTTTTGATTAAATATGCATTCATTTCCCACACACTGCCTTTGGATACCCACCTGCAGTTTGGAATGTCTGTGGTAGAGGAGCATCATGCTACACTGTCTCCAACAGCAACAGTGCCCCCCCCACATTTTCAGAGGGGGGCATTAGGATACGATGTGGCATGGTTTGGCGTCATATCTGAATGCAGCCATTGTGTCTTTTGGATTGCAAGCCTGAGAGGAGGGAGTGGTTTATTCCTTGTAAGCGACCCTGAGAGCCCCCCTTTCTTTGGCTGAAAAGCAAGGGAAAATGCTGCAAATAAATGCAACTTTATTGGGTATGAAGTAGCCCTAAGTGTCGTAAGGTTTCCACATCTGCAGTGCTTGGATACATCAGGAACACTAGCTATATCAGAATAAATGAAGCAGAGATGAGGTCATAGATTTCAAGATGCATTCATTCATTGCTTACCATCTCTTGAAGGTATCTAAGAAAGTAGTTACTGTACCAAAAACCTCCGTGGAATGTGAATCTGTATGGTCCTTTCTCATAGCATTTTGTCTAAAAGGTGCCATGAATAATAAATGGCTGGAAATTTCTGCTGAACTTCAAGGGCACTCCCATCTAAACATTGATTCAAAACACTGCCGTGCTTCTTTGATGTCCATTGCTTTCCTCTTGATAACTATTCAGTTTAATTGGGGCACAGATGACAGAAACTCTTTTCAGATGTCATCCCATGTCTCTGTAATAAAGGTGTAATGGTTCATGCGTCTAGATATTCATTTGCCTAAATAAAACAATGTCCAAGTACTGATGAATAGTAGGATCTCATTTCTCAACTTTTCTGGAAGGTAGTTATTTTTAAATTAAATTAATACCCAGCCTCAAGGCAGTTGACAATGAATATATAGATAAAATTGTTGTTGTTCAGCTGTTCAGTTGCATCCGACTATAAGCGATCCCATGGGCCAAATCTCACCAAACTTCCCTATCCCATGCCACCACTTTCAGCTGAACTGTGCTCTGGCCCACACCCTCTGGTGGAGTCTTACCACCTTGCTCTTTGGCAACCTGGTTTTCTCTTGCTGCTGAGCATTCCAAGCATTTACATCTTTTTCTAAGGAGCTTGATCACATGACGTGGCCAAAATACATGAGTCTCATGTATTTGTTATCTTGCCAACCAGGGACACATCTGGTTTAATACGCTCTGGCACCTGCTTGTTTGTCACCCCCACTGTCCATGGAATGTGCAAGAGCCTCCGCTGCAATAGGGAAAATGATCATTTGGATCAACCTGCACTTGGTTGCCAAGCTGATATTCTTGTTTTTCCACACTCAATTCTTGCTTGTCATTGACATACGACCTAGGGAAATCTGTTGCTTTATTTCTGGACTGCATTCACCACTGCAAGTACATTCAATTTCCACATTATCAGCTGCTATTTTGATGGCTTGTGCAGTTGTCAAGATCTTCGTCTTTTTGATGTTTAGAATTAGGCCAAAGTTGTCACTCCATTCTTTGATTCTTTGGATTTTATTTATTTTTATTTATTTAGCAGACTTATATGCCGCCCCATTCGCCAAAGCCTTGGGGTGCCTCACATACATAAACTTACTTAAATTAATATAAATTTTATATTATATAAATATAATCTGCGGGAGATCTGCGGGAGAGGCCCTTCTCCGGGAACCCTGTGTGAAGGAAATTAGGAGGGTAGGTACTCAGAGGAGGGCTTTCTCTGTGGTGGCGCCCAATCTATGGAATGCGCTCCCCAGAGAGGTCCGCCTGGCGCCGTCGTTATTTGTTTTTCGGCGCCAGGCGAAGACCTTTTTATTCAAACATCATTTTAATTGCTAATATTATTTGCTTATTTTATTCTTTGGCCAGGGTGACTTATTTTATATTGTTAATTCGTTTATATTTTTAATGTATTATATTTTAATTGATGTTTTGTGAGCCGCCCTGAGGCTTCGGCGAATGGGGCGGCATAGAAATTTTCTAAATAAATAAATAAATTAACAGTAAAAATTAAGTCGTCCTGGCCAAAGAATAAAATGAATAAATACTATTAACAATTAAAATGACATTTGAATAAAAAGGTCTTCGCAAATAACGACGGCGCCAGGCGGACCTCTCTGGGGAGCGCATTCCATAGATCAATTGCTTTAGACCTTCCTGGGTTTCTGAGAGGAGGGTTGTGTCAGCAGCATATCGGAGGTTGTTGATGATTCTTCCTCCAATCCCGACTTTTGAGGCTTCAAGATCCATCTTCCTCATTATTAATTCAGCATACAAGTTAAACAGAAAAGGGGAGAGAATGCATCCTTGTTGTACGCCTTTCCCAACCTTGAACCAATCAGTGTCCCCATATGCTGTTCTTACAGCTGCTTGCTGGTTTGTATATAGTGACTGCAGCAACCTGACCAGATTTTTGATACCTCCATGTCCTTTAATGCTTTCCACAACTTGTCATGATCAACGCAGTCCTTTCTTGTAGTCAAAAAGCACAGGTAAATGTTCTTTTGACATCTAGAGATTTCTCCATAATCCAGCGCAAATTTGCAGTAGGGTCACAAGTGCCTCAACCTCTTTGGGAGCTTGCTTGGACTTCAGGTAGTTTCTATTTCTATGATAGATGCCAGGTGTTGTATAATTTTAAGGAGAATTTTGCTAGCATGAGATACGAGGGCAATTGTGTAGTAGTTAGTACAGTCCTTT